GTATAGAATATAAATATTATTGATATATATATTTTATATATAGTAATATATAGAAATATTACTCCATAAAATAAATTATGTCTAATTAAAAACCAAATTCCAGCAGGAATTATGCTGAATTATCAAATAACTGCAGGTTTACCTGTGAGTTTTACTGAGGTATTTTATTTATATATAATTACAGTATTTTTTCCTTCTAACGACAAATTAAAAGTATTAAAAAAGAGAGGAAGATGATGAGGATGATGAAGAGGTCTTCATTCCTGCTCTCTTTATTTACAGGTTCTGCCAGGTGTCCAGTGTGTGTGTGTGTGTGTGTGTGTGAGGGTGTCCTGGGTGGGTGTGGGTGTGTGTGTGTGGAGGTGCCCGGGCTTCACTCACTGTTCACGGCGTGTCTGTAGCGCTGCTGCCCGCCGAAGAGGCTCTGTCCATTGATCAGCAGTAGTGAATCCAGGGCTGGACCTTGGTTTGGGTCCGGGTCCTGCTGCTGTCGGACCAGATCTGAACTCGGAGCAGAAGATCCGGAGCGAAATGGAAAAAAAAACTTCTCAGTTTGTTTCTGTGCGGGTCGTGCGCAGAGCGGCGCGGCGTGCGTAAAGCTGCGGCGGCCGGATGAGGAGCGTTCAGCAGCGGATCCGCGGACCGGACAGTGAGCGCGGCGTCCTGGATGCTTCTCCTTCACTTTTTTTTTTTTTTTTCCCTTTCCTCCTCGCTGCTCCTCTGCGCGTCTCCAAACTGCTCCGGATCTGGAATCACGTCTTCATCCTCGAAAGGAAAAAGAGAGAAAAGAGGCAAGAGGCGCAAGGAAAAAAAAAACGCCGTCAGTCCGAGATGAAAAAATAAACCCAAACCTGAGTGAAAAGTAAAAACAGCAGCGACTGAGTTCCAGTTGTGCAGCGGCGCAGAGGAGCTCTCTCTAATCACTCTGTCACTTCCAATCGTCCCTGCGCTGACGGCTGATAGAGGGAGGAGAGAGGGGAGGAGAGACAGGGAGAGAGGGCGGGGGCCACGGCTGGGCTCTGGGGGCCGGATCTCTACTGGAAGTGACCAGAGGAACTCTGCTGATCCGGATCAGGAAAAGGTAGCGCGGCCCGAGGCATAAGCAAAGAGCGCAGCTGCTGTAGACCAGCAGGCCAGGAGAACAAAATTATTATTTCTGACCTTTTATGCATTTTTTTAATATTCCTTTAAAAGAAAAGCAGCTTAAGGGAGACAAAAAGAATCCTTAAATATCCAATAAACGTCAAACATTCTATTCAGTTTATTTCTATGGCGCCAATTCACATCATGTCATCTCAAGGCACTTTCCAGTTCACCATCATCCAGTCAGATTTTTCTATCCAAGGAAAACCAGCTGATTGCATCAACTAATTGACTCTTCATCAATCCCTCACACTAAGCGTGCTTGTAGCGACAGTGGGGAGGAAAAACTTCCTTTTAACAGGAAGAAACCTCCAGCAGAACCCAAAAATTTTTTCATACTCTCAGCACCTTGATCAGAGGTGGGCAATTCCACTTCCTGGGGGGCCGCTATCCTGCAGCTTTTACAGCCATCATTGGTCCAACACTACTCAATTAACCTCCTCAGTGTGCAGTCAGTTCCTCCACAGTCCTCTCAATCATCTAATTACTTGATTCAGGTGTTGAACCAACAGCAGGATAGCGGCCCTCTGGAACTGAATTACCCACCCCTGACCTTGATTAATGAAATGATAAATTATTAACCTTTCTCTCCTGATAATTAATCCAGTCTGAGATTAAATTAGAATTTGAGCATCTTAAAATCAGGCTGAACGCCCTCTGCTGCCCTCTGCTGGCTGGGAGTATTATAGCGGCCGGTTCCATAGACTGAGGACAGGATGGACATTTTCTTGAAGAATTAAAAAATTTTCATCTAAAAAATAGTAAGCATTTATTGTTTTTTAGTTTAAGCTATTCTATGGATGCTTGAGTTTAAATAACATTTGGTTTATTCCAAAATAAATGATGAGTCCGTATTAAAACAACAAACTGCAGTGCTACTGACCACCAGACCAAAGCAGGAAGTTCATGCATTAAATTATCTCTGTTAATTATAAATAAATAAATAAATTTAAAAAATCTAAATCTAGATAAGTCATTTTTTCCTTTTATAAGTGCATTTGTTCTTGAATTGAGGAGGTAGGTGAGACCCTTTGTCAATGGAACAAGACAATTGACATTTAAAATAAGAAAAAAAAACAATTGTATTTCAAGTGCATATTTTATTTAAACAGTAAAAATACCCATTCCATTAAAAAATTATCCTATTTACCAGCTTAAATTTTGGGTTAATTCATTTAATTTAAAAAATGTTGACTTATTTCTAGCTCATTTTTGCAGTGCAGGTCTGTTTATCTCCTGCAACCTACCAGGAGACATTACACTGCAAAAACAATCTAGAAATAACTAAAGATTTCTTAAATTAAGTGTTTTTACTCTTAATTTGAGCAGGTAAATAAGATGATTTCCCAATGGAATCAGTATTTTACTCCTAAAATAAGATAATATGCACTTAAAATAAGACAATGCAATTGTTTTTATCTTATTTTAAATGTAAACTGTCTTGTTCTATAGGCAGTGTCTCACTTTCCTCCTCAATTTAAGAAAAACAGCATTTAATTTAAGAAGCAATGACTTATTTAGATTTAGGAAACAAACCTCTTGGTCTAAAGCAGGAAGTTTATCAGGCTGATATCTGAGCTGCAGCTTCTTTCAGTCTCATCCTACAGGAACAAACTGAAGTGAATGTTAATAAGTAGCCTAATAATAAGTGTGGGATGAGCATAGGTGTGTGCTCATCAGATGCGCTCTTGTGTTAATCATAAACCTGGGAGGTGATAGACAGATGTCACAGCGCCGTGTCTAATAGATAAGGAAGCTATAGAGGAGGTCAAATGTCACCCAGGGTTGCTGCAGGGAGTGTCTTCCCAGAGCAAAACACTTTCTGTCATTTATCATGACGTTGCTCAAAGAAGAAGTTGACTTTTGCAGGAAATGTTTACAGGTTTGAATCCAACCAACAGGTCGGCCATTAATGGAGCTCTTTTAGGGCTCATGTTCGTGTAAAGGCAGAGGCGTCCTACATTATCTGAGATCCTGTACAACATTTGATGTTGGAGTCAAATAGGCCTATCGTCGCCTTGGCAACCAAAGGGGAGGGAGGCCATTTGGAGGCCAGTAATGAACCTAAGGCTGCATTTGCTGCTATGGTGGAAATGTAATAATGAAAATCTGCATCTGTTTATTAAAGCAACTTTTGTTTAAAAATTATTATTATTAATTATTAGCAGCAACTAAATAAAAGATAAAAGAACGGAAAGATAATCAGGATATAAAACCCACTACATTTAAACAAATAAATGTTATATAAACTCATTCAAAACTGGATTTATAAATTATTTTTTTAGTTTACTTGTATCTGTTGCTTCGCTTTATTTATTATATTAAAACGTGTTTGAATATATTAAAACACATCAGCAGCAAACAGGCTGTAAAGCATTAAAAATGAGAAAAGTCTTATTGGTTTTAAAAGTTTTTGAAACATGTTACAGGAAACATTAATTGGTTCGACTTTTATAGGATCAGTTTATTTAACTTTTCTGTGATTAAAGGTAAAATTAAAACCGATCAGTTACTGAAAGTCTGGAGCAAAAACTTAATGGATTCAAACCAGTTTGTTATCGATTTAAAATTCAATAAAAGAAAGCAGCAAATATGAAAGCTATTTCTTTCTCCACCATTTTAGAGATTAATATAGAATTTATATTCTTGAATAATCTTTGCTCCTTTGGACGCCCCCTACTGGACTGGGGGAGCTTAAAGCAGCCCAGTTTGGCTCTGCCTTGGGCCGGCTGCTCCTATAGAGCCCGCGTGGAGTCACGCTGAATAAAAGCAAATAGAAAAACCTTCTTATAATAAAAAAAAGAAAGAAAAAAAAACACAACAACCGTCCAAACTCCAGTGGGTTTTCCACGTCGCTCTATGGCTGCGTGGGCGCCGCACGGAGTGCGGGTCACGCACAGAGGACACGCGGGCCTGAGCGCCGCAACATGAATTATTCAGCTTCATCTGCGAAAGATGAAAAGGCGGAATTGATTTTCACTCTAAAGCAATTTATATATTTATTTTAATGATTAAAACTTCAACAGGAAGGTTTGGTTCAACATTTAAAAAAAAAAAAACAGAAAAAATATCAGGATTAATTTGACCCTGTGGAAACGCAGTTTATTCCGGATTTAACTGAGCAATAAATAAAAAAATATTTATTAATTATGACGCAAACTGTAATTTAACATTTTATGTAATTATCTTCACAAACTGAGTATTTACTTTATTATAATAATAATTATTATTATTAGTACATCTGTTACAGTAGCAGCACAGACAGCAGAGGTCCAGGTAAAATTAATCTGAAGGTAAAACGTGTCCAATCCACTCAGATTAAGTGAAATAATGGAGTGAAATATTTTGGGCAAAGATCAAAGGCTTCCAGTTGGTTCAGTTTAATTTAGAGGCTGTTTTGTTGCGTGAAAACAGAAATGATTCCGTTGCGCATAAAAATTCGCTGTAAATTATTGAAACCTTTTATTTTCCACTTCTTTTTTCTGCAGATCGAGTCAAACGAGCAGGTAAATTCAGACAGCAGGATCAAATATTGATCTCTGAAATAAACAGGCTGCGTGGAAGATTCTGCAGCAGCAATGATGCCAAAGATCGGGGGCTCGTTAATGCGTGGAGGAACACGCGTGTGGCGCAGGTCAGGCCTCTGCTGAGAGGATAAACAGAAAAATAACAGGATTTTATTTAAAAAGAGCGAATTAATTGGGGGGAAAAAAAGTGATTTTCCACAGAGCAGACCTTCGGCACAAAGCTCATTTAAAATTCAACAAGTCAGCAGGATCATTTGGAGAAGAATGCGTCTGGGTTGGATCAGGCAAAATGAAGCGTTAAGAACGACGCGCAATAAGTTCCAGCCTGCAGCTGAACTGATGCAGAATTAATTATTCTTTAAACAATTAATGACAGAGTTTCATATTTTCCTTCTTTTTTTTTCTGCAGCTCCTCTGATTGCAGCGCATGGCTCCGGCTCGGTGTCTCTGCACCTGGTTGGATGGAGCGGGTCTGGAGGCATCATCTGTGCAAACAGCGCGGCTGTGTGGTGAACATGGAGAGGCTGAGGCGCTCCTCATCCACTCAGAGTGGGACCAGAAGGACGAGCTCGATCCTCAGGGTGGATCTAAACGGTCAGGATCCCAGTGTGAGCTGGAAACACTGCGGTTCTGTCACCACTGCGCGCAAGAGCGAAATAAAGCAGCAAAAATCAAACGAATAATAAAAAATAATAATAAAAGGTCCAGTATTTTTTTTAAATAATAATAATATAACAGGAAACTTATTTTTAAATTACATTTAAGGAACCAGAAAGACGTTTTATTTGATGATTAAATGGTTCCAATGCTTTAATGCTCCCAGAAATAAAATGGAGACTTTTAATTTCCTTTGAAAATAATCCTTCCTGATGGTGGAAAAAGATCAAATCCAGTCCAGTCCTGTTATATCTGTAACATCTCCAACCAGATCACCATAAAACTGCGAGTTCGAGGCTCCTGTTCAT